AAAATTCAAATTTTTCCTCGTTTGCCATCTTATAAGATTTAAGGCCTGGTAAGGCTTTCCTTCCAACTTTGCTTGTACTTTAAAACATTATAATAAAAACAACCTAACTTGAAACTTGGATTTGCTTTCTGTGAAAACCCAGATTTGAGAACCCCAGCTACTAGCACACACTTGCTCGGTGGGTGCACAACTGCTTAATCATGAGCTAGTCAAGGAAAAGCCTAGGTTGTTGATAATATAGTCCCGATTCAGATCCTGGCCCTGCCAGTAACTGTATTGAAGTATACAATCTCTATGGGTCTCCGCTTTCTCATTGACAAACTAGGAGATTGCAGGTATTCACCAACCCTTAAACCTATCGGTACAAGGTATAGTAATTAAATGAATGAGACTCTCTGTAAGCTAATGGGGAATCAACTCAAGGAACATCAGCCCTGTCTAAAATGATTTGAGTTCCCAACTTTTTACTACTGTCAGCAACAAATAAAAAAGTCTGCGGACAAATTTTTAAAACTCAATCTGCAAGTTGCCACCTTGTAATTCCTGCACCAAATCAGCTTTAGCACACCTTCCCCAAGTCTAAAGCATTAAGTGCACTGGCTTTCATGGGAAGAAGCCCAATATCTACATGAACAATACAAAGGGGTAATCGACACAGAGGAACTCTTGAAGAAGGCCTCAGTGTGCGTTAGTGTTGTAACAGTAGGGCAGCATCAAAAGAAAGAGGAAGAGGGGCAGGAAGGAGGGAGGGAGAGACAGAGAGAGACAAGTAATACCAACAAGGGACTTGGAGGTGCATGATCAAAGGAAGTGAAAGGTCCTGCTTGGTCTCATGGGAATTTTAACCCTTGTTCCTTGCTCGAGCACCACTAGCCAGGCCCTGTGCCAGATTTTCTAGATGTAGAAAATCTTAGTCATGTTTTCTTTAATTTGGCCTGTTTTTCACTGTTGCATTCTTTTATTTTATTTTAATATGTCTTATTTTTTAAATCATTTTATTGGGGTTCATACAACTCTTATCACAATCCATACATACATCAATTGTGTAAAGCACACTTATACATTTGTTGCCCTCATCATTCTCAAAATTCGCTTTCCACTTGGGTTCCTGGAATTAGCTCTTCATTTTCCTTTTTCCCCTCCCCCTCC